TGCTATGTCTTCTGTGAAATGTAAAACCAATCATGTAACCTTGCTTGGAAAATGGTATAAAAGATGCGTTCAAAATGTGGGTCTTTGGGTACCTGTCTTGGGACAGGAGTCCACAGGAACCCCGGGCCCTGGATTAAAGCACCGCATAAACTGACACTCTGTTAGTTTGTGTTCTCATTACGGGCAACAGTTTTCTGGCGACCACGAAGGGACCTCCGAGGGTCGCTGGGGCGGATCGCGAGCTGATCTACTCCACGCCGGCAAGCCAGGTGATTCCTGGGGAGAACATCCACCCGTGACCGACCCCGCGCCCGTCGGACGACCATACGAGGTAAGCCCGGAGGTGCTTTATCCTAATATCGGTGGTAAAAGCCTACCTGTTAGACGGGACTGTGTATACCCGCTGGGCTGGGCGAAAAAGAGGAATGTGGGGAAGCCTAGGCGCTAGCCAATAAGTCGCAAGCGGTCGCTGCGCCAAGCTAGCACTTGCCGAAAGGGGTAAATCGGCGAGTTTGGTTGTGGAAAAAGGTTGCTAGCCGTAAAGCGCAGCAAAGCTGCGGCAAGCTGGCATTTTGCCGTGAGCAGTGGAATTCGACGGGAATTGGTTGTGGTAGCTGTGTCGTTAGACGCGGCAGAAAGCGACGCTGAGCCGGCATCTTGCCGTGAGCAGCGGAGTTCGGCGGAATTGGTTGTGGTCGCGTATAGCGCTGGCCGTAAGCGCAGCAGAAACTGCGCAGAGCTGGCAATCGCTGGAAAACAGCAGAGCTCGGCAAGTTAGCCGTAAAAACGCCGCAAAAGGCTGCGGTAAGACGGTGTTTTCCGGCCGGCGGGTTGTGGTATTTGTAGTTCGCGTACGTGTCTCGTGTTGCTGTGAGTATGATGCCTTTTAAAGCCTCTAAAGCGTTATCGTGTTCTGAAATTCCTGACGATTCTCCGTGTCTTACTATTTAAAACATAAGCCTGAGTGGCTGGAGGAATCTGGGATACTGGCATTAAAGATGAATGTGTGAAATATAAAAAGCGGAAAATGCGGTCTCTAAAACCCGAGAAGGACGTAACTTTGCTGATATCCCCAAGCCTTACTCCTACTGCGCCGCCGATGCGTACGGACCCCCCCCCCACCCCCACCCCCGGTGCTGGCAGCTCCTCCACCCCACCCCCTGTGCTTGCAGCTTCTCCACCCGTACCTCCGATGCGCGCAACCCCCCCCACCCATACCCTCGATGCGTGCAGCCTCACTACCTGTACCCCCGACACGCGCAGTTTCCCCACCCATGCCTCCATTAGAGTCATCTACGGACGAAGAAGAAAAAGAGCGCCTTGATAAAACACCGTTAGCGAGAAGAACTCGGAGGGGGGGAAGGGAGCGAGGGAAACACCGGGAACAAAGGAGGGCTGTGTCACCCTCCCCTCCAAGGTTAATGGCCCCTTTGCGCAAAGCGGTTGGGGCGGGGGGGGGGGAACGCGGGTCATGGTAAAAGTTCCTTTCTCACCTAATGATTTGTTAATTTGGAAGCAGTCAGCGGGAGCATACAGGGAAAACCCTGAGCGCGTGGCACGTGTTGCTAAAATGGTTATAAAAACCCAGAATCCAGATTGGAACGATTTGCAGGTTTTGTTGGATACAATTCTAGATTCTACCAGAAAAGAAATGGTATTACGAGTGATGGTTGAAAAGCCAGGGAACGGATACGTGCTCAGCCAGGACAGGGGACAGTGAATGATTGGGTGCCGCGGGAGGACCCAGAGTGGAATCCGAACACGGCAGACGATTATCATAGGTTGAGATCTTATCAGGAACTGTTAGTAGAAGGAATGCGGAGTGGAATTCCGAGGACTTTGAACTGGTCAGTTAGAGGTGGCAAAGAGACAGCAAGCGAGCATGTTGGCAATTTTACAAGCTGCAGGAGGCGGAGTACATAGGGGAAGTGGACGGGGAATTAGGGGAAGAAGGGTTGGTCGAGGTTTTAGTAACCAAACAGGTTTTGGATTTCAAGGAGGACGTGGTAAATTAAGGTTGAACCAGTGTGCTCTGTGCAAAGGACAGAGGCATTGGAAAAATGAATATCCTATGGGTGTATCAGGTCAAACAGAGGAAAGGGCATTCTTGCGTCCACTGGATATTAAATTTAGATGAAAGCAATTGGATCATCAATTTCTAATAGCCCGGAATGTTTATTAGAGAGGGATTTATTGTCTTCCCTACAAGCCACAATTGTGTTTGAAAAGGGTAGGGTCAAATTAGAGATTCCAGAAGAAAATGTGGCACAGATATTTGCTGTAAATGAAATAGAAACAAAAGCAATTCCTCATGAAATAGAACAAGCAGTGGTCCCTTAAGTATGGGAGACTGGGGCCCCAGGATTGTCCAAAGCAGCAACCCCGGTAGTAATAGAGCTCAAAGAAAGAGCACAGCCAGTACAGGTAAAACAGTACCCAATCAGTTTAGAAGCAAGAAGAGGGGCAGCACCTTTAATCAAACAATTTCTAGTTCTTAGAATATTACAAGAATGTGAATCAGAATTTAATACACCTATTTTTCCAGTCAGAAAACCTAACGGAAAATACAGATAAGTACAAGATCTACGGGCGGTCAATTTGTTAACTAAAGACATTTACCCTCTTGTAGCGAATCCCTATACCCTGTTAACATCTGTTTCTGAGAAATTCCAGTGGTTTTCAGTAATAGATCTGAAAGATGCCTTCTTCTGCATCCGATTGGCACCGGAAAGCCTTACGAGAAGCACCTGCTCTGGGACTGCCCGATTTCACTAAAGATTTCCATCTGTATGTCTGTGAAAGACAACGATTGGCTCTGGGAGTACTCACCCAACGATTGGGACCGTGGAAGAGACCCGTCAGGTACTTCTCAAAACAATTGGACGCTGTAAGTGGGGGATGGCCTGGTTGCCTGAGGGCGGTGGCAGCCACAGTGACACTAATTCAGGAAGCACGTAAGCTGACACTGGGAAGGCACATCACAGTGTACGTACCACATATGGTTATTGCAGTTCTGGAACAGAAAGGAGGGCATTGGCTCTCCTCTAGCAGAATGTTGCAATACCAGGCCCTGCTCAGAGAACAGGATGACATTGAATTAAAAGTCACTAACCATCTCAATCCAGCTGAGTTTCTCAGGTCCACACAGGAAGAGGGAGTCCTGGAACATGACTGCATGGAGACTATCGAGCATGTCTATGCAAATCGGAAGGACCTGAAAGATGAACCGCTGAAAAATCCAGATTGGGAACTGTTCACAGACGGATCAAGTTTTGTGGAAAACGGAACCAGGTATGCTGGGTACGCGGTGGTTACTTCACAGGGGATTGTAGAAGCAAAAGCACTGTCCCCAGGAACATCTGCACAGAAAGCTGAGATTTGGGCACTGGTGAGAGCCCTGAATCTGAGTCAAGGAAAAAGGGTGAACATATGGACTGACTCTAAATATGCCTTTGGAATAGTCCATGTACATGGGGCACTGTGGAAGGAAAGAGGGCTACTTACTTCCCAAGGCTCAGCCATAAAGCACCGGGACGAAATACTACAACTCCTGGAAGTCATACATCAACCAGCAGCCGTAGCGATAATGCATGTAAAAGGACACCAGCCTGATTCAGGACCCGAGTCTCAAGGGAACAGACTGGCAGATCAGGCAGCTCGGCGGGTAGCTACAGGAACTTGGACTCAAATGGCTTTGTTACCAACTCGTGATAATCCAGCAGCAGTGCACATGGAAGACAAACCCCATTATACACCAGAGGATGAGAAATTGGCCCAAATGATGGAAGCAAAGAAAAATGTGCAAGGATGGTATATTAGCCCTACTGGTCAGGTAATACTGCCAATCAGAATAATGAAGACAGTACTTGAAGTTGAACATGGTAAGTGCCATTGGGGTGCAGAGGCTTTGGTAAAATTCCTAAAACAGCAGATTTTCTCGAATCAGATGTTAACACTAGCAAAAAGGGTAAATGCAACCTGCCCGGCCTGCATTAAAAATAACCCTATAGTTAGAAAACAGGTACAAATGGGGAAACTTCAAATTGGGCAACTTCCAGGAGATTATTGGCAAGTAGATTTCTCAGAATTACCAAAAGCTCAAACATACAAGTACTTACTAGTGTACGTGTGTACTTTCTCAGGATGGCCAGAAGCCTTCCCATGTAGAACTAATCAAGCAAAGGAAGTAGTGAAAACCCTCCTAAAAGAAATCATTCCGAGGTTTGGAGTACCTTTAGGATTGTCCTCAGATAGGGGGCCACATTTCATTGCAGGAGTCGTACAGGATTTAGCCACAATGTTAGGAATAACATGGAATCTCCACACTCCATGGAGACCACAATCTAGCGGACAGGTAGAGAAAATGAATCAGACTTTAAAAAATCAATTAAAGAAAATTTGTCAAGAAGCAAAAATCCAGTGGCCACAAGCATTGCCGCTTGCTCTGTTAAGAATTAGAATTAAATCCAGAGAAAGAATAGGGGTGAGCCCTTATGAGATCCTATATGGAAAACCATACCATGCAGCAACCTACCGGGGTGATCCTCATGTACTGGGGGACCAAGTTGTATTTAACTATATTTTGTCTCTAAAAAAGACCCTTGCAGCACTCCGAGGAGCCTTACAGCGGAATCGGCCCCTGCCTCTGGAAAATCCAGTGCATGACATCTCTCCAGGAGACCAGGTCTACCTAAAGAATTGGTCAGCAGAACCACTGAGAGAATCATGGGACGGGCCTCACCAGGTGTTGATGACGACCTACACAGCAGTCAAGGTCGAAGGCATCGACAACTGGATTCACTACACGAGGGTCAAGAAAGTTCCCAAGCTGTGGTCTGCAGAGCCCATTGCACCGACCAAAACGGTGTTCAGGGCCGTCAAATAAGGACTGTAACACGAGCGATAATATTGCTGTTATTGATAAATACTACTAATGCATTTGTTAAAGTCAGTGTTTCTAATTCCTCTTTCTTAATACCCGAAGGTACAGCTGTCAATCTGACCTGTTCCTTCTCTGACGACCAGGGAGCTGGATTAGAAGAAGTGAGTGCTAGATGGCGGAAATTGGATCAGGACCACATTATTGTGAATGGTGTGACTACGGTATGGAAT